GATTTTTAAAACTAATCGTGAAAAGTTGTTCCTGGTTCATAACTAAGCATGACGCCGTACAGACGTAAGGAGGAGTTGAGGTACAGTTCCATTCCTAACCTCTGTTGTAGATGGTGTTGAGTGGTCAGGTTTACCCTCGAGGAAAGAACCCCGATTACCTTTAAATACGTTGGGTGTACCCCTGATCAGGTCTGGACGTTGTAACAGACAAAAGACCTGCCCTCCTGGGAATCGAAGCCCCTCTCGTTTAGCACGTGATCGCTTTAGTTACATGTTGACGGAAAAAATCCGTTTGTGAAGAGAGATCAGCGTCTGAGAAGTCATAAGACCATCCAAAGTACGACTGTACTGTTAAGAACTGAGCTTCATTTGCGTGGATTACTTGTTGTTTGCAGTGCTGGGTGACGGTGGCCCTGCTGTGCTCTGTAAATTTCCACACCCCAATGACACTTTTATGTTATTGAGGATATCAAACCCTCAACGAACCTAAATGATCCCGTCCTTCTTCATAATTAGACCCAGTTACGAGTTGAAATAATTTACAATCGCGCGAGAGTGGAGTACTCAGATTCATTTCTAACTCTTTTGAGTAAATGAAGATGTCACTAGTCGTAATTTGACACTGATTAATAAAAGATAAATATTCGCAATGCTCTTTGCCTTTGTTTAGTGATCTGTGAATCTGTGTTGTTAACCTTTTGAACATTAATTTAAAAAAATTCACGTCCGATCAAAAATAAATCACTAAATTTATCTTCTCTGTTAATGAGGAACAGATGGTTAATGCTGTTTAAGAAATTGATCTCTGTTTATTCTAAGAATCTTACGAAACCCATAAATATACGATGGTAAATGTTTGGTCTGAAGTGTAATAAATTTAATTCTACGTGTCCGGGAGGTCCCATTTCCAGATCTCGGCCCGGAGACCGGCTATCCTGGCTGAATTATTCATTTCTACAAGGCGCGCGTAATAAATGCCACTTCTGTGTCAACTATTTTTTCTCTTGGTCGAATTACGATTAACGAAATTTCTATCGGTTTTCCCAGAAAATTGTTCCTCGTATAAAACATTTGTACTTGATATGGGATGGCCTATTTCAGCTACATACATATCTGTAAGCCTACCACGTACAGTCTTGGACCATTCGAACACTGATATAGGTGGTCTCGGGTTCGATTCCCGGCGGTGCCCGAATTTATAACTTGTGTTGGGCAAGGCCGTGGTCTAGGCAACACGGAGTTTTCCTCCGTGGCATCCCAACAATTACTCCATTCACACACAGAAGAAGGCAATGGCAAACCACTTCTGGATCATCTGCCAAGAACGTATATGAACAGGTCCCAGTCCGAGAAAAGGATGGAAGGATCGTGTTCATATGGACCTGTCGTCAGACAGAACACTAAATGAATAAAATAAACGTACTGTGAATAGTTTTGCTGTAACGTTGGTCAATATTAACCCTGTAAACAAAAGTGTTAGCGATATGCACCACTTGGTTTAACATCAGTTAACTTTGAATTTAGCCCATAGAGTACTTTTTATGATTAAAAATAGCAAAGTTATTGTTGATACGTACCACCGCAACGGCAGGTGACGAGAGCATCTCTTCTCCGGACACAACAGCGAAGTACGCCAAGTTGGCAGTGAAGTAAATCAGCGTTACAATAGGCATAGCAATCCAGATTGCGCGGGGAAGATTTCTACGACAGAGATAACCGAATCGGTAATTAGTTTAAACAAATTCCTGTAAAAGCCATGGTTTTGCAGGATCAGATCGAGTGAAGAAATTATTCAGTGTCGAGTAACATTTGTTATTTTACGACGAATAACGAAGCGTAGAATGATATTTGTCTGTTCGTTATTTGGTTATATAACGAAACTGTATCAACTGCAGAGATCTAGAGACGATGTTAGTTTCCTATTCGGCCATTTAATGATACTGGAAATATTTCTCATATTACGTGGGGTTAAATGAGATGGGGCCTATATAGCATCATCGCGAGTGAAAAGTATGACGAAATATGGAGTTACGGTGGCCTATTTAAATTACTATCACATCATTCGCGTGGAAAAACTGAAAGAAAATTACTGAAACCTTCAGTGACTTAAGATTTAGCCAGAATGGTAAAAATCAATATAAATTATAATGAATCTGATGGCCCAATTCTCAAAGAAATGTCTGATAAGTAGTTTACATAAATCATTAGGGTAGGTTACCTGCAACACCTCTTGTGTCCTATACAGAGTCAATTATAATTCTTTTTGTCCTAAGTCAGCTTTCTCGTATTATAATTAGAACACTTTCACAATAGCCGTTGCGAAGAAAGTATTTAAAATGATCTGAGGATCAATCTCGGGCGTGTACAATTACGCGTCATTACTTTCATAAAATAAATCTTCTAATATAAAAATCTTCGTCTCTCAAGTTTCCATCGTTTCTACGCCTGTGGTCTGGCTGATGCCATATAATAAAAGGTTTTTATAATACATGAAGCGATCTATTTCCACGCCTTTCGCCGACTGACAACTCATTAATGCATAAAGCGATCACCACGCATCATGACGGCGTTCGATAATACAAAATATATTTTACAGCACATTCTGTTTATCAACAGAAATATAACATTCATAAGATAAGATAAATATGTCCTTTAAATCCGGTTTATGTTAAGAAAAATCCGGGTTAAGACGGAAAAACTAGCATGGAAATCAAAATGCACTCATCTGGGTCTTTTGTTTAGAGAGAAGGAAGATTTGTTGAGTTCGAAAATGCTAGATTTCTTTCGCGCTGCTTCGAAACTTACATTTATTTGCCACCAAATAGATACAATGTTTTATTGATAAATCCCAGAAGAAACGTTTTTTTAAAGAGATGACCTTTCCATCTCTTTCTATCTCCCGAGTTCCTGTGAGACTCCAGTCAATGATAATGCAGCACAGCAATGAATTTCATTGAAACTGCGAGAAGTGTGTGACGTCTTAGAGAACACACAATCAAGATTCGTATGTGGGAAGGGGTTAGGAGTTGTTTGCAGTTCGTGACGAAGTAGGTTCAGTCTGAAAGGATTTTCCTGTAACTCTTGCGAGAAGAAACCTGACCAGAAGGAAAGAGGCCACTTGTGAACATCTTCTCTGATAAATTGAACAGATATTCTGACTGGGAAGACGTGATGCTTACATTTGGGAGAGTGACAAATCGATTTGCTTTTCGTATATTTTCTCAAAATCTGTTCACCGTAAAATAAAACGTGGACACAGCACGAAGTACAGATCTCATTAAAAATTTATACTTGAAAAAAGTTTCGACATATTAAATAATATTTTAAGAAAAACAAAGAAAGACAATGTTTGACCCTGTGAAGTATAAACATACAACAGAACTGTATTCGCAGAAATGCCATCCACTGGAGGAGAACATCGCTCTTGTGTAGTGAGGTCACTCAGTATTGTACACAGAGCGAGTCTTACGTTCGATAGTGAAACGTGGGTTATGAGACAGAACGACACAGGAAGAAAGACTTCGACACAAAACAAATCTTATATCGAGAAGCCTCACAAAATTGGCAGTACTCGAGAGACAGACACGACCATTGTCAGCCAGGAAAGAGGAGATAAGAGTTCTGAAGTCGAACAGAGATTTTTGTTGTAACTAAGGCACTTGAATCACGTCTTCTGTATCATTTAATTTCCTGAATGTATAGTAAAACGAATCGACTTCCAAGGAAATTCTTTATATCGGTGTTTCTGAACCGGTACCGAGAAAATGTGAATTCAAATGTGTCACAACAGCAGTTCACAGAATGTGATATTAGACGTAAGATTTTGTCGTACTTTTATCCTTTCGCTGGCCTGAGGTGTTGTTTCTTTGTAAACTGTTGTTGCTTGTTTAATCACTTCTTGATTCTGGTGTTTGTCGTAGTGGCGAAAAAGAATATTAACATCTATTACGAAATGTTTGTATCTTTTATTAATTTTCATTTTCATTTAATTACGTATTGACGAGCCCGATGATCCCAGAATACTTAAGGCTTTGACCGGGATGTTCTTTGGTTAAATCTTATGTGGTACCGCCTGATTCGACTTCTAATGGTTAAGTGAAGTGTTTTCTTCGCGGTACGGTCTGGATTCGTAAATAATATGAAGACGAGCTTCGGCTTCAAAGGGTTAGCCAGCTGATTTTCGTAATGGTGAGGTGAAGTGTTTTCTTCGCGGTACGGTCTGGATTCGTAAATAATATGAAGACGAGCTTCGGCTTCAAAGGGTTAGCCAGCTGATTTTCGTAATGGTGAGGTGAAGTGTTTTCTTCGCGGTACGGTCTGGATTCGTAAATAATATGAAGACGAGCTTCGGCTTCAAAGGGTTAGCCAGCTGATTTTCGTAATGGTGAGGTGAAGTGTTTTCTTCGCGGTACGGTCTGGATTCGTAAATAATATGAAGACGAGCTTCGGCTTCAAAGGGTTAGCCAGCTGATTTTCGTAATGGTGAGGTGAAGTGTTTTCTTCGCGGTACGGTCTGGATTCGTAAATAATATGAAGACGAGCTTCGGCTTCAAAGGGTTAGCCAGCTGATTTTCGTAATGGTGAGGTGAAGTGTTTTCTTCGCGGTACGGTCTGGATTCGTAAATAATATGAAGACGAGCTTCGGCTTCAAAGGGTTAATTATGTTCACTCGCCGTGAACTCTTCAAATCGTATTTTTATTAATTCTTAATTACGTGTTTCCTTTCTAACAATTTGTAATTAATTGTTTTTTTTTCAAATGTATTTTATCTTACGTAGTCTTCTATTCCTTTTGTAATCGTAATATTTAATATAAATTGACATTTTTGTTATTTATTATTCATTTCAAAAATGTCTAATTCTTCTAATTACAGATTTTCTTTATAGCTGGGAAGTATAACCATGAAGCCGTCGATTCAGACATACACGTACAACGTTCCAATAACGCACGAATTTAAATGGCGTTAACACACTGAATTATGTCCTAGAATTTCACCAACTGCTTTGTGAAATGGTGTCGGCAGATCTCAAACAAAGATAGAGTTGCTACCTGTTCCTGTGTCTTGTCATTCTGTCTGTCAGGAAGAAACGAGAGTTACTATCTGCAAACAAGTCCAGTTTGAAGTCTCTCATAACCAAAGGGGTTGGGGGCAGGGTGACTACGCAAGTCTTCCTTCAGAAAATTCTTACGCAAAATTATTTATACACAAATCAGTCTAAACCGGTTTTATATTCAGGGCATTTAATCTGTGGTTCAACTAATACATTTCGCCCGAGGCTCCTTTGATGCAAGCTGAGGCCTCTACGTACTATAAAGTTTATTTAAATGTGATTTAACAATTTAAAAAAAAAGATTAATAATAAAATATGAAACAAAATTTCTGTTTAATTGCATATTCGTTATTTAACATGTCTTTTAATAACAAATTGTATTTTACCTTGCATCCCAGGGCTCTCACGGGAATGCTACATTAAACAAATTAATAAAGACATCTCATACCGTATTTTTTAATATCAATTTTAACGTTATCCTCCCATATGAACCTATGTCTGCAAACCGTCCCGTTTACTACGGAACCTAAGAATTTATTGGAACACCGAACAATCATCCCTCAGCATCCGCCCTACAGTGCAATGCATGAAAGATATCGCAATATGACACATCCTAAACAAACAGGAGACTAAGGCAACCCTCGTCGACATGGATGAAATGGCTACTGAGAACAGTCATATCTAATGAATCGAACCTCTGAGAAGCAGAGACGAATTTACTAATTAAATGAAGGCAGACAGAGAACCCGACTCCTCTGATGAAAAGTGGAAATAATGATATTAAAGCCCGGATAAACAGAATTAATATCTCAATTTACAAGAGGCCAAAGTTGATATCTGATTGAAATGCGTCTTATAGCATTTGTGTTAATAACTTGACTCAACAAAATTTTAAAACTTTTAGATAGCGAACTGACAGTGTCCGTCAGTCTCTTTCCTGACTCAATTAAGCACATCAATATTATAAGCGCTAAAACTTTCTCTGAAACTTTGTATGAACAAGATCATGACATCGGAGGCTAATGTATCTTAGTACATTTTTACAATCCATCGTTAACACTACCCGTACACTAATTCCGTTTCTTGATGAATATGTCGAAGCAAGTTTCTTCGCGTAACTTTATTATTATCTCTCTCTTTGTCATCGGTCTTTCGACTGGTTTGATGTGGTCCTCCATTTTCGTCTATCTTGCGCCAATCTCTTCATTTCCACATCCTCAAAAATCCGCGTCACATATTCCAATCTCTGTCTCCCCCTACAATTCTTCCCTTAAGCTGTTCCTTCCATTACGAAATTAACCAATCCTGGGTGCCTCAGAATGTGTCCCAGCATCCTATCTCATCTTCTCGTAAGATTTCTCCACAGACTTATTCCTTCGCGTATCCTATTTAAAACCTGCTCATGAAAATGAAAAACAGGGGACACGATATTTTTCAATGACAATTGCAGGTGAAAGCTGTGTTGTATTGATAACTAATCCCGTATCATCTACAGGAGACCAGATCAGGCAAACATCATAAACACGACTCAACGTTCGTCCGACTCTCAGATTTACAAAATATAACGTTAATTTTAATTCAGAATACAAATTTGAATTTCGACTGTTAAATATCTGTAAAGTAATGACTTGAACTGTCAAAATATGGAAGGAAAATTTAATCTAAGCTGGATCACCGAACAAAAGAGTTGTTACGAGTAAACAGGTACGATATCTTCTAACGTGATATCTCAATTTTTAAGAAGGAAATGGTTATATTTGTTTATGCGAGTATTTTCACAAAACAATGAAACCTAAATAACGTGAACAAATACAAGTAAATTGAATAAAAATTTCCTTGGATATTATCCATCGTCTAGTAAATATAAAACGTAAAAACGACGTTTCGGAGATGGGACTCTATCTCCGTCTTCAGGTTCCTACACAGTTGGGCCCACTAGATAGAGCTAATCCCTATCTCCGGACTCTATCTCCGAAACGTCGTTTTTTACGTTTTATATTTACTAGACGATGGATAATATCCAAGAAAATTTTTATTCAATTTACTCTTCGCCATCATAAAGAAGTTTTAGATTTGAAATACAAGTAACGTCTACATCGTACACTGTCATTCTATTTACCAATACGAAGTGACGTCAACCAGCCACCTTAGTCCAATAAGAATTGGTGAAAATTAATAAGTTCTGATGCTGCAAAGTTCTTCAATTCTTGGTATGTGAGTGGCTGTTGATAATTATTTCGAATGTTGTAAGGCTTAGATGTCACGAATGAAAATAAAACACGCGTAACGCTGTTTTAGTCTGGGAAATCATACATTTCAATACATAAAGTAACAACAAACAAGTTAGAAAACACAGAGAGCGTAATAATTCTGGGGCGTTTGCCATAATATGACCTTTGTGGATGTCTAGGGGAGGGGTGTCAGTGCCCACTGCAAAGGCAAGATGTCTAGTGCCTGTCTGGTTGGCTGACGACGTCATGGAGGATTCCTCGATGCGGCCGGACTTTGATACCAAGCGGAGGGATTAAGTCACATCTAGGTCTTCGCGTAAAGCCCAGTTATTATTACAGATTTTTAACAAGACTTGGGGTTGCGTTAACACATTTTAGTCAAATTCTCCAATATCAAAATTTAATTAAAATCCCTTCACTGGTTTTCGAGTTGTTACATTCTGACATAAAGACGAACACGACAAAGATAACGTTCTTGCAAAAAAATTTGTTGCTAAAGCCACATCATTTATAAATTCATCATTCACAATTTGATGTTACGAGGTGCGATCAGAAAGTTTCAAGACTGTGTCAATAGAGGGCGAACCGGATGTAGTACGAGCTTCTGCCTTTAGGGGGTGCGGCCTACATTCATAGTGGATCAGTGTGCCAGCCGGCATCATCGAATTAGCATTTGTTTCTTAGTTACGGGCGTTTTGGTAGTGCATTACACCGACCCTCCTGCGATTTCGGAATGGCGTGTGCATCAAATTTTGCCAAAGACTCTTTCTAAGCTCCGTGTGACTTCTCCCTCTTCCCCAAGATGAAAATTCAGCTAAAGGGAAGGAGATTTGAGACGATAGAAGAGATTCAGGCAGAATCGCAGATGGTGCTTGACAGGCTGACAAAGAAAGATTTCCAGGGATGCTTCCAGGCTTGGCAGTGGCGCTGGGATCGTTGTGTTCACTCCCAGGAGAACTGCTTCGAGGGTGATGGATGAATTTAATACCTGAGATAAGTGTACGGGTTTTTATAGACGCAGTCTTGAAACTTTCTGATCGCACCTCGTATGTAACTAACGCAGTTGAAATGCGTCAATAAATAACCAAACAATTACTAGAAAAATTACAGTCACAGTCGTCCATTTAGAGGGTTCGAGATCAACATTGGTTCATGATGCATTTTAACGAACCTGTAAGGATCCTGAAGTTCTTCTGTGACGAAGTTAAGGAAGTTCCAGCCCCCGAAGGCAAAGAGGCCGGAGTAGAAGGCAACGGCGACGCTACCGACACTGTATTCTCCGTCAAAAGGCTCCCTGAAGTAGGCAGTTTCTCCTGTAGTCAGACAAAGTGCTGTTTTACAAACTGTTCGTGACTACACATGACGGTCCTCCGGAGAACATTTAGACCTAAGAAAGAAGAATCATAGGACATACAAAGTTAATTATGAAAAGATTCATAATTTACATGCCTAATCTTCGTCTAATACTCACAGGGTGACCCGAAAGTAGTACGCGTGTTGATGTTGAATAAATGGAAATTGGTCGAGTTTTGTCCAAGTTTGGGGAGGCGATTTTTTTAGTGATTTTTGTAATAAAACACAACTGGAGGAAACATACAAAGATGAACACATCTCTCTCTCTTACACACGTATAACCCTGAATTAAAATGTTAATTGATAATAAGCGGTATCAGCAGCTCTCGCAGTAACAAATTTTGGTGTATTTTGTGAACGTTCGTGTATCACTTGCCTTCATATTCGTTGCTGTAAAGGCAGGCCTCAACATGATGTGTCCTTTCACAAGTCTTGTTCACCCTTCACAAGCGTTCGTAAATATATCTTGCCTTTATGTATGAATAAAAAAAAAAGCTTTGTAATATTAGAAGACACTTTAATGACTAATTCTTTCCGAAAAATTAGCTTAATTCGTAGGCTACTACAGTAAGGATTATACAAAAGGGTAGAATATGCATCTCTGCATAGCTGAATATCTGGTAATAGTGAGACACGACTCAACGTGAAAAAATGAGGCCCCTTCGGTACAAGAGAGGATCCACTTGGGGGGGAGGGGGGGGTAGCTTCTCTGCCAGCACGCGTGCACTATAATGTAGTGACGAAGTTATCTGACCATTTCCCCAGGAGCTGCGTGAATCTGTTCGTCCATGATTTAATTACGATTTAAGTTATACAGACACTAATTCACAATTCCACGGAAGCGTCCTTCCTGAGAAACGAATAGTCACGAAATTATAATGAATTTATAGAACCCAAAGGTCCATTACTTCATTCAAAACAATTCATAGCCGCGCCGAATCCTGATTCATATGTATCGAGACCACACTTGGTGGTAATTAAGAAATCCAATTGAATAATATCCTCCATCTAAACAAAGGTCTGCTTCACGTCAGGTTTTTGCAATTAAAATACTGTACGCATTCTTCTCTCCCCAAACATTCTCACCTCCGGAAATGTGGACAACACCAGCTATGACGACGGCCACTAATGCCAGCAACTTGGCAGCCGTGAACAGTCCCTGGATTCTCATAGCCCACCGGACACTGAAGCAGTTCACTGCCGTCAATAAGCCTGAAATACGATCACAGTAGACACATCTGCACTACGAAATATTAATGTAACTAGAAACGTGCAATGAGAGGGGGGTTTTTACAAAGAAAAATTCACTTTAGTGTCGTCAAATGCCTTGATAATTTACCCTTTGAAGCCGAAACTCATCTCAATAATATCTAGACATTCAATTCTTACCTTACAAAGACAGATTATAACAATTATTTATTTTAATCCGTCTGATCACAATATAATTTTTTATTTAAAATTTCTTATAATTAAGATAATAAAATATCATTCATGTTCCATATCGATTGATCGATTTACATTTCGGAACATTTACACAACATGTTTCGGTTTTTATAAAACCATCATCAGGTGTAAAATATATCTAAGAACTTAAAACTCAATTATGATTTCTGTAGTTTTCTTTGACGCAATTACACTATCTTAATTATAAGTTTAGTTAATCTGTTTGTTTACTATTTTTCATTATTATTTCGATCAATCGATATGGAACATGAATGATATTTTATTATCTTAATTATAAGAAATTTTAAATAAAAAATTATATTGTGATAAGACGGATTAAAATAAATAATTGTTATAATATTCACAATATGACGCAATTACACTATCTTAAAGACAGATTAGTTAATGCTGTTCCAAGAATCATACAAGATCTCTAAATACACTTTGTGGGGAAAATGCAAATTGCTGATTATTAAAGCGGATGGTAAATATTGTTACCACAGAATTTTTAAGGGTTGAGAAATTTCTTTAAATAATGATGGAAAAGTTCATACCGTCACACAATATTTAGGATACACTTTAATCGTTAGTCTATCCCTGCATCTCGGTCTCCCACATGACACGAGTTTTACGGCCGAACTGTTGAAGGCCATTTCTCATTTTCACGACACTAAACAACAAAAGCTTTAGATAAAGCAGTGGCCTTACCCTATGACAAGCGTTTGGGGGGCTCCGTAACAAGTAAAATATTATTTAAGATGGAAAATAATCTAAATAAGTGTGAAAGTTAGTAAAATATTATTTAAGATGGAAAATATTGTAAATAAGTGTGAAAGTGTTAAACATTCAAAGTCTGATTATTTATGAAGATAAAAAGAATAAGTTCAGGACAAAACTTGTACAGATTCTATATTAAATTTGTCTGATATAACCTAAAAGTTTGGCAAATTGGCAATGTTAGTAATTTTTTTTACACTTCCAATATTTTGTATATTTGTTCGTACATTTACGATAAAACAGTAAAACTGTGCTTAAGATAAAGAACATTTTAGGTGTTTAATAAATGACATAAAAATAGTGTTAATAAAAGTTGAACATTTTTTTAAAGATCTATTACGACACAAACTTTAGGGATAATATACCAAGTGGCGCTCTAAATTCACAAGTACTATGATATTCATGAGGGAATATCTGTAGCAAATCGTAACAAAATTCATTTGTAATGGTAGACTCATTTCAAGAAAATATATAAATTATTTTCATAATTTTCAAATGTATTCCAGTTAAGTATAATTTCTTGTGTTATTTTTATTTATTCGTCAGTACCTCAAACTATAATAGCGTTAAATAATATGACGATTAATGAATAACGAATTGGAAATTATGTGAAAAGAAGTGGTCTTGTCATAATTTAAAATATTGTCCCGGCATTTGCCTGGAGAAACGAAAAACTACAACTGACCAATAAAGTTGACAGTTCCGCACAACCGAATCCTGCCTGTACATCGTATATCCTACCAGAGGGCATTAGAGGTTTCCGTCACTCCTTCCACACGGACGCTAAGATATTTTCTTCCAAATATTACTGAACATCCACGAGCGTTGTTCCATTTCTCTTATCTTGGGGATAAATGCAAAGATACAGCCTATTTATTTAAATAATTTAACTAATATACAACCAAGTTCTGGATAACCTGGCAGTTAAATTACGTCCAGAGGCACAAAGATGTCTCAGCTGTCTATAAATGCTAGACCAGTCTTCGTAATCCAACTTCACAACTCTATCTTCGGGTTCTCCTGATTAATTGTTTTCCTACTGAAGGATTTTGTCATAATTGATAACGAGCCAAGATTTTACATAAGCTGATATAACACAGAAAGTCGTAAACAAGTTACTCGGCTCGCAAACTCCAGCGTCACGCGAAATTTACCTCCTTTGTTTTGTTGTAGAATTACGATATATTTGAAAACCAAAATTGTTACTTGTCATCAGCGTCATTTTGATGTATTACTTGTTTCAATGATGCAAGTTTGATGTCGCCAGATAAACGGTGAATACACTCACAGACTGAAAATTAGCCATGCAGAATTTGAATTTATTAACATTTTTTTAAGAAATCAAGATATGTTGGTACTATCGATAGTATGGCAGTGGAAAGTTTGTGACAGCCCACACTGAGTTCGATTCTCGAGCAGGAGGACATCAGATAGACTGGACTTTTGGGGATTACTCCAGCTTATACGCAAAGGAAAGGGGCCTAAGTTAGTTTTGTTTCGGTAGCGCCTTCCTTAATCGAAATTTATAATTAAATTGTATTGAAATTTCCCGATTTGATGGTTAATATGGCTATTTCGGGCCACATCTTGGGGGAATTGTTTGTTCCATCAGGCGACAGCCTGGCGCCCATCTACGTGACTGGATGAAAGGCTGATTTTATGGTCGGTGGCTCGACTTGGTGGGATGAGTAAGCTCTTCCAGATGTGTTTTAGACGTTAGCAGACTTAGGATAAATCGCGTCACTAACCACCAATGGGTTTTAAGTGAGTTATCGGCGGCAAATTTGTTAAGGTTCGGGTGATGAACCAATCAGCCAATGAGAACGCTCTCTTCAGATTCAAAAGTCTTGGGGGAGTCTTGCTGAGCGCAGCAGGGCGGCTTCCAGAAGACACGTCAGTCTCGACCGCGTCCTGCACTCGGCGAGTAAAGGAATAAATTAATAAACGTGCCTGAACAAGGTAAACGAATGCACAGTCAATTACTGGACTACACCCCCTCGCACCTTGCTCCTGGAACCCCTCATCGCCAACCACGTATATTCCCTGAAGGCGAGAGTTCATTTCACCTGAGTCATCGCAGAAGCAACCCCCTTGTAACCAGCCGGGCGTCCTGATGGAGAGTTTGGAGTGAAAGGACGGTTTACAAATTCATGCAAAAATTCATGAGAATCCGGCACGTAGTTCAGTGTTATGGGAAACAAACACATGGACGTAAGAATATACAAGACTGTTTCTCCTTGTAATAGTGAAATAAGGACAAGAAGACTGCTGTTAGCTGTTCCCTGGTGTCGGTTAAACCACCTGGACTCACCCATGAAGGCGAAGACTGTACATTAACCTACTCTATTGCACAGCAAATACTGTTAAGTGCAAAGTGCTATTCAAATCCGTTTACAAACACCTGTTAATGAAGACAGAGCAGGTCTTCGAAGCGTTAGTTTTTAACTAAACTTCCAACGCGAATAATGACTCAATAGGATTTTTAGTGTATTTAATCGCCTACAAAAAGGTTATTACTTTCTCCAACTGCTATTACTTCTACACGTAAGTTTAGAACCCTCGATTTTTAAGAAAAAAAATGTACGAAACGTGTGATATAAATTCACTTTTCACTGCACGTATTAGGGCTCTCCTTGTCTCGTAACATCTTACCACGTTTAATAAAGTTAGTAAATGTCAATGTAAATACGGCCCTTAAGTTTTCAGTGCTACCAACATGAAAAACAGCAAATTTGTAATATTTCTACAATGTAAGAAATCGTAACAATTTTGACTCGTTCACAATCCGAATCTGACCTTTGAAACAAATGACCTATATATATATATATGTGTGTGGGCCGGAGGGGGGCTGGCGCCTACTGAGTGATCACAGAGGATTCCCCAAGAGTTGTTTCTTACATTATTTTTATAGGACAGACGGAGGGGCAGGCAGACCTAACCTAACCTAATAAACATTTCTGCAGTGTTTAGTTGCCAAACAGAACTAGAAAGGAAGGAAAATTAATCTCATTCGATACTAATGAACCTCTTCAAATGATTACATGTAATTAATAAACATACGAACTACCCAAACATTAACAAAGACGTTTAATTTGTATTCGATAAGCACCTAGTTGTGTTCTGATTTAAAAAGTACTGAATTACCCATTGCAAACGCGGTTAGGGTCTATTTACGTCCAAGAATGACAAGTCAGGAGCACCAGACGTTCACCGGGGAAATTATATAATATACACAAAAATATTTCCGTTAGTCATAATTCTAACAAACACGCCTACCTTGAAACTCACACAATAAATATTTGTATTTGTGTGGGCCTGAAGGCTGCACTAGTGTAGCAAGAACACTAGATTCGTATTCTGGATATACCTAGTTCGAGTCTCGGCCATTTTAAGAGCAGCACTATCTAAGGTGCTCATGGGTCTTCTCAGTCCCTCCAGCGAAGGCCTTTCTATACTTCCCCCATCTCATGTAGCTCTTCAGTTGAAGCAATGTATTTTATAGCCCAAGAACCAACCCAATAGCTTTTTCATCGTTCTAAGGAAAAATCTGACATAATCAAAAAATGTCGCGAATGCACTTATAAAAGGGCATCGGTCTGATTGAAAAATTCGCCAAGGCTACATGTAGAGAAGACAGGTCCACTAAAATCGAGATTTTACTGAATTGCAAATTTTGGGATTCCTATACTTGGGTATGGTCGCCCTCGGTGGCCTAGTGGTTAGCGTGCTCGCCACTGGACCCAAAGGTTCGCGGGTTCAAACTCGGCCGAGGTCGATGAATTTTTAAGGGTGATAAAAATCCGTAGCAAAACTTCCTTCGGAGGGGAAGTAAAGCCGGCGGTCCCATGTCGTAGATTTACGAGCACGAACGAAATGTTTCGTAAGCAAAATTCAGCGGCCATTTCTCACCCAAGTCTCCCGATTGTAAATTAACATTTTATATATATATACCCAGGACTGATAAAATATTTCCATCAATGACCGTTTACGGATTGCGAACCCCCAATAAAAATCACTTTTTCACCCCTTCCCTTATGGAGATCACATCCACCCACGCGAAACTTTACAGGATATTTCACAAAACAATGTTCCTTAGGCAAGACCACTTCTTTTCAATACACGTATGAAACACTGAATATTTTTAGAGATTTGGCTATAATTAACTACATGGCTTAGGGAACCACACGGCTCATCACCGAATTAACCAAAGCCCTCCACCAGTCCCTGTACTGGGCCAGCAAAATCCAGGCGTCTTAGAGGTTAGGTCTCATTAGGCTTAAAGCAGAGCCTTCAATGCACTTCTTGTCCGTGTCCAATACCGACTGGATCGGTGTTAGCTGGTGGCAAGCATTATGTCAGGGGTGGCCAACCCAAATGATCTTTCGGGCCACTTTGGAAATGCATCATAACTCCGCGGGCCACATATAAAATTATATATCCCTATATTAGATTTAGATACACTATAGACATTTTTTTGGAGTGAAAAATTGAAACATAATGAGTTATTATTATTGTGTTTACTATTACTCTTACATGTAAACAGATAATTTTTGAATATATGGATGCACAAATAATGTATTTTTTTAATACATTGGTTTTCACTACTTTGGCCATTATAAAATAAATATATTTTGTAAAAGTGTGATGAATCTCGCGGGCCGGAAAAATGTTCAAGGCGGGCCACATGCGGCCCGCGGGTTGGCCACGCCTGCATTATGTAATACTTACATAGGCAGACAGCTGCTAGAAGTCGTACTGCATTCTCAGGTGGCGAGCAGTCCAGAAAGAACGGTTTGGCAGCGTACTGTGCAAATGTCAATGCAACAATTGCTTGAGTTGTTGGTCTAAGTACAATGAGGTTCACCCACAGCTGTAAGAAAGCCCACAGCGGACCGAAAGCTTCCATAATGTAAGCATAATCACCTCCTGAACGAGTAATGCAAGTCCCAAGTTCAGCGTAGCAGAGAGCTCCCAGCATGGAGAATATACCGGAAAAAAGCCAGACTATTAGAGACACGCCTACTGACTTGGTTTGTATAAACACTCCTGTTGGCGACACAAAAATTCCTGAACCAATTATTGTCCCCACAATAATCGCAACGCCGTTCTGAAGTGTAATTTTTCGCTTAAGAGCCACTCTCTGGCCATCGATACTACACGTGGTCCCACCTTCTAGTACGTCGTCTTCGTTTTTCGTACCCATTGCTTAGAAAGCGTTCGATTTGATTAAATCCTACTTCGTTGATTATACTGCTGGTTCTTACAAAACTCGAAACACCACGGTTTGGCTCTGGCAACTACACGAGACCACTTCCAGCATGACCTTTCCGTCTACAACTACTATGCATACTGATCCCTACCAACTGCCAGCACCAGCCCACACAAGGCAATGCGGGGGAACGAACTGCGACAAGACTGACTGCGCATGCGTCATGTGTAGTCGAATGGTGTACCTGCCGGAGTTAGTTGCATCAGCCACCGTTCAGCGCTCAGTCGATTTTCCTACGCAAAGTTAACAGAGTATAAAAGGACATGACACGAACTGCATATATAAGTAGTTCCCAAATTCGTTAGTCTGAGGCTCGAATTATGTCATCTGATGCCCACAGTCAAAATAAATAACTGTCAATGCGATTTAGCAGTTTTAAGAAGTAATTACTAATGAACCTTGAAGATATCTTTGAAGAAATTTTCTATAAAGTCATATGTTTGTAATTATCTGTGGAATTTTCATAGCAATTTATATGAATTATAATTAGAACATCAGTTCTGTCTGGGTGCCGCGACTCCCACTTTAGGAAGCGCTGACTTAGCCTATTTTTATTACGATCACTGAATTAAGACAAACGCTGGTTGTTAGACCTAAGCCGATGTTTTCAGCAATGCATTCTGTTAACTAAGTGAAGTGGCTAATTCTTTCCACATCTCTTACGCGCGCGTGTGTGTGTGTTCTTTTCAGAATATTAGTTTATTGCAGTCTCGAAACAGATTAGCAACCACAAAAATACAACTCTCGTTTACCTGCAATTATACTTGTTGTTAAACGCGGTTCCACCTAACTCAGAATAAAATAAGTATTCATTGAATGAAAATGGAAACAGAATATAATTTTCTAGAGACAGGTAGTCCAAGGACAACATCCGATTAAAAACAAATCTGCAATGAAGAAAGGCATGATTCTTCAACATGTCATGGACTTTGGTTACCAAGGACATTCGAACCCACACTTTGCGACCACAAAAAAGTAGCGTTAAAGCGGGAATTGCGGTAAATTGAACCCCTGGCCACAAACACAGCATAAAAATTGGCAATATTATGCTGACTTTTTTATACTGACGATACTGAGAGAGACACGATTTTCCAAACTGGAACAAAAAGACATAGGACGATCATTCTGAATGCTATAAGATAACAAAGGACGGAATTTATAAAAGACCCTTTGGAATATCATAATGAGAACGGAAAACATGTATAAAAATAAAATAAAAACATAATAGCAACTATGCTTTCGATAAATTAGTTTATGCTGAAAGTGATTCTTTTAAGAAAAGGCCATGTTCATTTCCAATTATTACACTTTGACATTTATATAGACTCTAAAATAATTATTAATATGCCTGAAAACAGGAAATCGTTTGCTTGTAGCTTCTACAGTGTCAGACGCATCGAATTTTACAAAACATTTAATTTCAAAGAATTTAATAAAGGAGTTAACTACGATGATCATTTAATATCGCTGGAGGAATTTGATTTTCGCGAGACAACTGCACAGAAGATTTGCAGTTTTACTATGTGTGCTGCCATTTATGCCTAGGAGTATATCTATTTGACATGAGCCGGGATAGCTCAGTCAATATAGTGACTGGCTACGGGCTGGACGACCGGGGTTCGATCCCCGACGGGGGCCGAGGATTTTTTTTTTCCCCCTCTAGTTACTGCGCTCTAGGGTGGACTGCCGAGGTTGTGTGAATTGGAGTAATACGTATACTAATTTAAACGTAATTTGCCAAGTTAATATATAGAAGGATTTTAACGAGTAGCATGTATTTAAAATAATATAGTAATAAAAACAAAATGTTTTATATTCAAAATAGGTAACAAAAACAACATTAAGAAGGTGAAATGTTGTTGTTGGAAGTCGTTACTGGTTGATAAATATAGTCAACACACAGTGAAATACAGAGTTTGACTGCAAACATTCATTAATTTATTCTCTGAAGTACTAATTAACTCCATGGAGCACATTCATTCTTATGAAGGTAACGGTCACGAAATTAGGCGCTTTTATGTACCATAATGTTCATCGCCGTGTTTGTAAAAGCCTGCAGCTGGACTCTTATCACGTGCAGCATTTCATAACATTCCAGGCACATAATTTTAACACAAAACTGCAGACTTCGTGAATTTAATTAAATTAAATTTGTCGCCGTTAATAAATATGGGATCGTTCATTGGACAAAAAAAAAATCAATCCGACTGCCAGCACTACAAAATATCAATCCGACACACCACACACCTTGTCCTCGTCTGTCTGCTAAGAAGAATGCTGACTAATCGAACTCATTAAAACTGATGACTACAGTACGCACGATAATTCCAGCTAGCTAAGTTTGCAGGAAACCTGTGTTCTATAACCACCACTCTCCACATCATCGTATATTTTAATTGATTACTTAGTCCAATGCCCTTCTCGGGGGGGGGGGGCTTTATAATGTCCATCGCTTTCTTGGTCCAACATTTTTTCTTTGTTTATATTTCAGAGCGCGTTTCGAAATCATAAATCATAAAATCACAAATATATTTCATGTGTTTCTCGCATCTTAATTTTCTATTTTGTCAAAACATGTACATCCTTTAACTAAATCTCGAAAATATCATTTAAAAGTCCTGCATTTTACTGGAATATTGTTTTTCTATCATCCATAATTTACTGACGAATACAGCAATGTCATGTTATCTCTAATAAATGTGAAATTTAAAGTTTGTACTGTTCCCAACATCACGCAATGAGAACATATGGAAAGAATGGAAGTAAAACTCCACACATTCTATAACTCTATATTATAAGCGCTATGACTTAGTAACCTAACTTCCTGGATAATTTCTATTCGTATAAATGTCCATGATATGAGCAGAATCTTACATAATATAAATTTAATGCATCCTGGCTACGTTTGTAATTTTCAGCGCAATAAAAGAAGTTAGACACAACATTTGCACCTATGGCCCCTTTTACTTAAACACCAAACCCAGGTAAAATAATTTAGCTCAAGAGTTAACAATATTGCTTTATATACACAGGTTCGAATCTCGGTTACTTTGGATTTTGACATTTTGAAATGATTTTCTAAAAATGATCTACTTAAAATAAATTCTTTTTTTTGGAAACTGCCAACGATTCAGCGAAGAATTAAAATGATAATTTATGACTTAAAAGCAACAAAGTGGTTTTGGAGTAATTTGAATAATTCAAATTATAAGCAAGTGAATGATAAATTAGTAAAACCTTTATTTATTTATTAGTTAAATGAGTATTAAGTGTATACTCATTTATTTACATGTAATACAAGCTAATCTGATAACATAACGAGTTACACACAATACGTCGGGCCCTTGGACCTTACAATAACTTGCCGGGCTTGGTTGTCTCGGGGGAAAAGCATTTTGGACGAAAATCAGTTTTGCCTGCATAGTTTTTTTTTTCTAGCAAAGTGACAGCTTGTCACCGGCTGATTACAAAATGACCTAAACTTATCAGCTGTGAGTTTCACGTCGAAACCAAAATGAACCCGGCCGGGTCAGGCCAAGTATAACTTAATTCATGCACTCAGGTAAATGAACATTTTATTAACAGTTCTAAACCTCACAGTATTTATGAGATGGTAAAGTTGCGTCATATTGTGATATAATAAGTATATATTAAATTTTGTCCGTCTAATCACAATAAATTCTTATTAAATATTAAAATATTACAATAATTAACATTTAAAATATTTAAAATATTAAATGATGTTCTTTATCGAAATATTCGATTTGCATTAGACCATCGAATATTTCGATAAAGAACATCATTTAATATTTTAAATATTTTAAATGTTAATTATTGTAATATTTTAATATTTAATAAGAATTTATTGTGATTAGACGGACAAGATTTAAATAATATATACTCACAGTATTTATTAATTTTTACGTTATTATTATTACTGTTGTCATCATCATCTTCATTATTCACAAGCATAGGCATATTAGATATAAAATAGGGCATTGACCTCGTTTGAATAAGTAAATAGTTTGCTGTAGTAAACGTTTCTGTCAAAACCCTAAAATTTTAGAGAGCTCGAATCATTTAAATAATATTTAAATGACCGATTCGTGTTTCCAAAGGAAAATAAATCAGAAAAATACACTCCATGAAGGAAATGCAGAATTATTTAATATAAAGTAGATGGTATACATAGAAACCACACATAAGTAACTTACAGTTTTTTATATGGTTATTTTTAATATTTTAATATTTTCCATCACTCATCACCGGTATGTTTTATTAAATTATTAAATAAATTTAATTTGTTTTACTAATACATTCTACCATTTATTTACTTCAATCATTTTGTTTTCTATATTACTCCATATTTATTAATGTTTTATTTATTTAAACCATTGCTTTACAGAATAACATTGAACATCAGATGAACCACGCCATATAAAAAACAATACCTTCGTTCTAATATATAAGAGTAATCTGATAAGAACATTTTCAATAAACTGCATAACATTGTAAATGATTGTAATTCGAGTTTTAAAATTTACCAATCTAATTTATACCTGAGGACGGTTAAATATAACCGAAACATGTCGTAAAAGACGTTCCAATTTGTAAATCGATCATTCGATGCTGAACGTGAAATGATATTTTAAATATTTTATATTTTATCATATTATTAAAAATTGTGATTTGACGGAAAATATTAAAATATTAACCTAATTCACAATATGACGCAAATATACTACCTTATGCTTATTTTTATATTATACAAATAGAATTTGTCCAGGTTATAACTACGGAAGTTTAGAAATCAGAATTAATTTACCACTTGTGAGAACTTTCTTACGTTCATTTTAATTTTAAGTTTTACAGTGTAGCCTTTCTACCGGTGAGATGGATTAACGATGGTCGTGGACAATATAAGAAGGAACGTTTTTTTTCTCTTAATATTGTTTCGTCCTTTCAAAGTTTTAAACATATGACATATACGCTGCGAGATGATTTTGGTTACAATGTGGGAGATCTCGCCAATGGAGGCCCACAGTCCCGAAATAAACTGGTCGCTCAGAGCGAGCGAGTGAGCTCAGGAGTGGAGTACCGTCTTTGCAGTTTGCGCGTTACAAGTACACCAACAACGCACAACAAAACAAGAAAGCCACACCCCCGCCATCTTGGATTATATAGACCTTCAGGTAAGACGACAATATTGTAAAGCGTTATTCATAAGAAGTGTAGCTTAATTCTTAAAATTAAATTAAAATAACAGTAATACTAAAATAAAATATAAATGACAAATATTGCATTTCACGAAAATTTATAAGTGAATCGAAATTTTATTATTTTAATGCATAAAACTGATGTAGAGGAAAATAGTAATTATAAGAACAAGTTTGTTACAAAAACATATTCTAAAATTTTAAGCCAAGCGATCGTATCAGTTAGACGACGGATGACTCCGTCAAAACTGGAACATGTAAATTACTATTACTTATAACTGAGTCTGTTTTTTTTCAGATTTAATGGTATAAAAATTGCAGGGAATATGATATCTTAAAATTATCTTCAAGTATTTTTTTTGTAAAACATCAAAACATAAGAGTGAAAATATTTGGCTTCTTTCACAGCTCACAGCCAACAAAAAAAATAATGTTTTTGAAGTTATCTTTCATAATTGATTATATGAATAATATTAGCTAAATACCTTAAAGTTATCGTAAAATCCGTTTTCAAATATGACACGTTAACACATTCCATATCTATTCTGTACAGTTTTGTTTACTTTTACAAGATTTCATACAACATAAAAAAAAAATTTTAAGGCTCCATCTTTAAATCATGTGACATCCAGACAAGAGTGGTGGCGATGGTGAACATAGACCAATGTTTTATAGTTTCACGAATCGTAACATTATAAAAGTGCTCTAAAATATTTTGTTTTTAAATATATAGTGTATATATTTGTGTTTGTTCGTCTTGTAAAGGTTCATAAAACGATAACATGCTTTCTAGAAGAACCTATGTTGAATTCCGCCATTTTGAAGGTGCATTCATTTTAATATTTCACCTTGGTATATTATTATGTAATAAATGGCGAATATTTAATCACTTATCTTAGCATAATTATATATGGTTTTGCCTCCTCGTGAATACTGCAAACCACGGAACCATGGGTAACGTATTAGACTTAGCAGACGACATTTATACGTCAATCTTCAAGCGAGTTACAACAGATGTTAATTGTACAACACATAACACAAGAGAAGAAAGCAAGTGTAATGGCAATACAATTCCTGCGTTTAAAATATCTCCTGCTGTGAATCCACGCAGTGACTGGAGACGTAGACTTTGTTGTATTTTTTGTAAGTTATAGAACTAGGTCAGTATTTTTAAATACCCCTGTCTGTTGGAAGCTAATTTCAGGTCCTTAAATATCGGTTACAGCTCTGGAGTGTGATTATGTCCATACTAGGAGGATACGGCATAACCAAGAACGTCATAATCGTTTGAAGATAAATGAACGTAAAGTTGCTCAAGACTGATGCAAACTACAATCAAAATTATCCTTCAATATCACTAATTTTTTTAAGATCTCGGTAAAATTTGGAATTACTCTTATGAGTAATGACAAAAGGAAACAGAGCGTGTTGATTTGTTTTAATGCCTTATTTGTAAACATGGTCACGGAAAATTCTAATTCTTGTCAAAACCATCGCCACCACCATAAGCACCATCGTCACCACCATAAGCACCACCGCAGACACAGCAGCTGTAAGGATAATGTTGACACTAAAAGACTTAAGAAGCTTATAAACAATGACACAGCCGGTGCCAGGAATGGAGAGGAAGGCAGGTCCAGAGAGGTGTCTGAGGAAAAGTCCGGTACCACCAAACAAGAAAGAAAACACCTTGCAGGAAGGGTGTTGAGGAATAGACGATATAAGTAAGTCGATAATTCATTCATTTATGTATCGATGTTTAGGTTGGGACAGAAACCTATTTAATTCCACTTTTATCTTTCAAAATAACGTCTTCATTTCTAATTATATTACATTTTAATTTCTTATTCAAATAACGTCTTCATTTCTAATTATATTATATTTTATTTCTTATTCAAAACCATTGCTCATTATTTCTAAGATTCTGATACATTATGTATATAATATATTACTTTTACTTGGCATGTTTATATATTTAATCTGGTGTCTTAATTTTGATGTTATTCATTCTTCTGGAGAACATTCCCAGTGTTAAAAACATTTAATTACACCTAAAAAATATCCATATTTATTTCTCAGGTCATATTAGGTACTGCCATTGTTTTATAAGTTTAGATGGATTTGATTTACTTGTTGGTTTATTTTTAATTTGCGATATATTTTTCACAGACTATTTTGGAGCCAAGGTAATGAAAAATGATATTACTGCTCATGTAACCCACCTCGCTTGGACTAATTATTTTTAATTACTTACAGTACAACAGAATATTTCCCATGGAGAGTTGTCTCGGTGTTTGTAATATGTTACTTCAATTTTTATCAACATTAGAAGGTTTTCCAACACATTAAGTAAATGTCGACATCATTTAAATGAATAAAAATGTGTACATGGCGTCGATTTCGAACATATGCACTATCTTTAGATGTTCTTTGCGACTTTTCATATGTCACTGGCTTTGATGTTTATTAATTTCAGTCGACACTACTAATCTGTTGGTGAAAATCTTATTACACTGCAGGTAAAACTGTGTACTGGGAAACAAATCATTCGTTTTATTTCGATTAATATCCACCATATCGATCATTTCTCAAACAAAATTTTCACATCTCAATGAGATTCATATTTTGTACGATGTACAATATTTATGCGATAAGTCATCTTTCAGAGAAGTTATAACGTCTGATTTATTTTGTGGAGGATCTAGTCAACTGTTGACGGTTTCACGTTGCACTCTGGCTCGATAACTGAAGTCGGACATCTTCACTTTTGAATAAGTAAAATACATCTCAGTCACCAGGTTCACTATAAAAAATATCTGCTTGGGAATATAACCATGTATTTAACATTCAAAATAAGGGAAATATATCTCAGATTTGAGCGGTCTTAGTAACTTGAAGACAACTGGCTGTCTTCTGGGATGTTGCACCGTATAGTCTGGCAAATACCATTCGACGTTTCAAAAGAACTATCTCTATTATTAGGGTAATAACTATTCTGAAACGTCGGTCACTACTTACCAGACAACAACATGCAACTTTTCTAAAGTCATGCATCTTCATATTCGTCACCGTCCAAACATCAAATCTTAGCAGTTTTTTTTCATAATTTAAAATAATAAAATTTTATCTTACGGCATAATTTAAATTATAGTCATTACTCTAATAATTTATCGAACTAAACCCCTTCTGAGCAAAAACCCACCTTCTCAGGCCTTTGCATTGTCCTCTCTCCTCTTTTTGTTAGGTTAGGTTTGGCCTTGCTTACATATGTATATGGTTGGATTGTCATTGCTGTCTCTTAACAAATTTCTCGCTAACGAATAATAACGCAATATCTTTCGGCTCGCTCTATCGTGAGCCTTGATAAGGTGAGTTTGTTTTGTGCCATGAAGACGACCCTTCGAAGATAATCGCCACACGAAGCGTCTGTTTACACCAGAGATAAAGCGGTTCCTGAAAAGTTGGCTGGTCAGGCGACGTGACAACCCGTACCCTAGCCGGGACGAAAAGAAGGACCTTGCCGTGCAGACAGGACTCACGTACATACAGGTATTGCTAGATTGAGTGAGCAAATAGGCAGGCAAACTGCTGTTAAAAAAGGAAAGCTGTCCCACTATCCGCCATGTAGGCGCTTGGGGGAGAGGTGGAATAGTTCCTAATCTTTCTTGACCTCGGTACTAGACGGGGATGAATGGTCAGTGTCATGCCCCAGAAAAGGAACCCGGTACCCATTTGATAGGCTGGGTGGGCCCCAGAGCCCGTCTGGATGCAGAGGCTACAGAAAAATATCTTCTACACCCACTGGGGATCGAACCCCAGTTATCTAGCCCATAGCAAGGCACTATACAGACTGAGCTACCAACTTAGCAATACTTATTTAAATTTACTAACAAGTACTTAAATTGACTTAACTAGATTAATAATTAAATATATTGAATAAATAAATTTAACATCAATTAACCAACGAAACCATCTTAACCTCAACGAACAAAATCCTTGAGAAGCTGATAACTTATTACATGAACAAATTCCTCGCTCTTTATGAAACACGAAGGTTTGTAACACGCGCCATTGGTCCCTTTCCTGAAACAAATGAATACAGTCCAATCCCCTTCTAATCCTATTTCTTGAACACCCATTTGAATACTTAACCTTCCAACCAACGAATTTTACTAAATAAATAAAGAAAAGTAACATTTTTCAAATGTGTTATTTCACTTTTCCTGATAAATCTTCTATTGGAACAAGTTGTATTTTATCCTTTGTGACTGGATATGGGTTCGTCGGCCGGGATTCGTTTCCTGGCAAAACAAGGATTTTTCTCTGTGTCACCGTGTTCAAACTGGCTCTGTGGACCAACCAGAATCCCAAGGGCACAGCAGCTGGTTTGTCAGTCTGGCCATTAACTTCCTTCTAATGTCGAGGTTAAGAATGTGTATAACTGAACTTTACCTATGAGATTAAATAGTAACTTAAATCACGTAAAGGAAGTCAGAAATTGGTTGAAACCTTTTAATTCAACAATCTTCTAACAGTATTTATGTATCTTTTGTTTCTTTTCATATCTGATCACCATTCATAAGACATATTTGGATGCTAAATAAATATTATAATACTTTGCTACATAACTTTTAATATATTTTCAATAAAACTTGATTGTATTATCAGAAGTTATTATCATCTAATACATGAATGCATAGTCTCCAACAACAGAAGGAAAAACAAATGAATGCAAAGTACTCAGTCGCTGGTATACAATTTTCTTTCAGCATGTTCACATCACATTTATACGATAATTCTCAAATCTGTTTTTGGTACCGATCTCAGAAAATGCATTTTACCAGCTTCAATATTTCTTCTGAAGATTTCTGTCTTCTGGGCTGTTGCGCTGTGTGGTCTGGTCGATGTTAACCAACGTGAATACTCATCGCCCTGATGACGGAGGCAGTATGACCTCTGAAACGTTGGTTAACATCGACCAGACTACACAGCGCAAGAACCCAGAAGACGGAAATCTTCATACTCACCGCTGTGAAAATCTCAAATCTTACAGGTAATAACTTTTATTACAGATATGCAATTGGTTTGCAAATTGGCGTCGCAAACTGAAGAATGCGGGATGTGAAGCTCCGCACCATACATGGGGTAATCTAATCAAAAGCTACAACACAAAAGCTCAGGGTAATGTGGAGCAGTTCAGCCTGTGTTCTGATGATAGCATTTGGGAGGAACAAGAGATTTCTGACAGAGGTAAACAACTGTGCTTGGTCTTCCTAGAATGGCATCAATGTAACGGACTAAAAGATATAAAACCTTAATGAAAGCAAAATAATTGTAAAATATTTTATGCTGTGCACTAACCACTTATGTCTGTCTTGACATTTTGCATTCAAATGTTTACACGAACACCATGGCAATAGCAGCGAGATCTTGTTCTGATCCATTTTACCATCTCTTCAGTCTGTGCTCGTTTCATTGTTAAATTATTGCTGCCTGAATATTTTCATATTCTTCGATACCACTTTTAACGTACTGAATTTTTTCAGGGATCATTTTTAATTTTAATATTTTATTTGTCCACTACCCATGTAATTCATTATTCATTTCCAAAATATTAACCTGTTAAATTTTTCTATAAACTGTAACGTACGTTACATAATGCTATGTTATTATATAGAAAAATTACCATTAATTTGTTAATTCCATGGAGCAAAGTGAGAGTGGGGGGAAGAGAGAATCTTTATATCCCATGAAGTGAAATACAACATTATAGTTATGAATGGTATAATGAGAATGATGTGGAAGGAAGCAGTCCACCTATTTTAATGTGCAATCTCAGCAACTGTGTGGCAAGATAGAAAAACCACATTAATCCTTAGCCAAGAGAGCCAGTCTCCACAGAAACCACAAATACGAAGTAGGATTGCTAAGCACTAAACTTTCACATTCAGTATGGAACCCATTTAACATAAAAAATAACAAATAAATAAGTATAATTAAATTTGTTTCTGCATTTATTTTTTAGAACATGATGAAACGAATGGAGTTGGAGAAACTGTTGCACCACTGTCATATGTGATCAATGCCACAGCAATGGATCACAGCTATTCTACTTTATATCATCAACAAAATTCACATACTTCATCCGCTGCACTGCTAATGGAAAACATGAATTCAGAAACCAGATCTCAGAACCATCATAACGAACAGTGTGTGAATTTTACAGTGTCAACCAAACGGTTACGATCAGAAATGACCGGTACAGTAAAACCGGAACACGCGGTTCCCCTAGATCAGTCTTCGGGTTCTACCAATAAATACAAGAATGTCATCATGGAAAAATACCTAACAGATCTGAGAGTTTGCCAGGAGTTGTCATCAGAACCCACTATCATGAAGAGAGAGACAATGTCATCACGACAAACAAAGAAACACTGCAGAGATTCTGAAAGTGACAATGTAGAATTTGGACAACATAACACTGATGGCAATATCTATACTGATACATCATGCAACAGAGTTATAGAAAGTGGTATTATAAATAATGGTTGTGGAAATATTACTAGAAAATGTAAATGCCAAAAGAAAGATGAAAGTCATCCTCTAGAATTATCCAAATGGTTAGAAAGTGCAGCCAAATTCAAGCCAGGACAAAACTATGTAACGTGGTCCGGCAAGAACACCACATGGCAATCAAGTTCTTGTGAAATAAAGGAGGCCCCACAATGGAATGTGACAGGTAAGTTAATAAATACATGTAAACATGTTTACATACTCACGCACTTCTTCTTCTTCTATGGCTCTCCGGTCCGTATTCGGTCCATGGCCTCCTCAATTCTCCTCTTCCATTCGGTCCTCCGTTAGGTCCATTCTATCCGAGGCTTTGATCGACGTTTTGGAACATCTTACTTTTTACGGTGCGAGGTTGTTAGCCTTGCGACCAACCCCCAACCTGGAGGACCAGGGTACCTGTCTTAGTCTGACCTCTCCCCCTCAGCCAATCTGGCTAGGGAGGCCCTACCAGTAGCTCTTGGGGTCACTGAGGTACTCAAGCCCCACCACCACGACAAGGTGCAGGTACCATTAAGTGGGGACACACACACACATATGAATATATATTCCATGGATCCAAAGGTTTGTCAAAATGATAAATTGGATGTGAAATAAATCATAGAAATACAAGATAAACAGACAAATATTTCACAGAAAATAAAGGTTTCATATGAAATATCCAATGTTATACCAAATCCATACACATACAATAGATTATACTACGCAAAGACAAATAACCATAAAAATTAGAAATTCATCTAACACAGTTAAAAGAGTGTATATTTAAGTATCTTCCCAACAATACCTTAAATTGTGCCTTTTTATTCATACGACTTCAGACTATACGGTACACTATTGAGAATTCTGATGCCAGAACATTACGCACTTTAGAAAACATATCAGACTGGCAACTGGTCTATGAAGATTGTCCTTATTCTTTGTTAACATTGTGCATAGCTGAACATCTGAAAATGTTATTGGTTATATGCAATGAGATTCATTAACAAAAAGAACGCATTCACATAGAAGAGGTAAAAATCTCTATTTCTTAAAAAGACTTCTACATGAAATTCTAGGTTTGACACCAGCCATAATTCTAATAATTTTTCTTTTGTAAAATAAATATAATTTCTTTACAATATTTTGCTTTTATTTGAATTTGGTGTACCTAGTAAGCTAGTCAAGCTAATTAAAATTTGTTTAAGTGAAACCTACAGCAAAATTCTTGTATCCTATATATTTCCTATTCAGAGTGGCCTGAAACAAGGAGCTGCTCTATCGCCACTGCTTTTCAATTTTTCCTTAGAATACGCCAACAGGAAAGTTCAAGAAAATCAGGGTAGTTTGGAATCTCATCTAAAGAATGACTAAAAAATCTGTTATCTGTCTGATAGGTGAGCAAACACAGGTAATGATAAATTCTGTTTGATCCGATGTTATAATTAATTATTCTCAGGCTACCATCCATGTAAGGTGGTTAATGGAGAAAACACCAACGTTTCTAAGAACCATTTCTTCCTCGTCCTCAGGGTACCCCGAGAAGAATTCATTATACTTAGTTGCCGTGAAAGCTTCAGATCATAGATCCCATGTTAGCTGACAACTTATTAACATACACATATCATTATATGGCATAATAATTTTTGAAAGACATATTTATAATAAACAAATTTAAATTTCAGCAACTGATGGAGGAAACTACTGGTCAATTGGACAACACCACAGGGAAGAACTTGATGCTGCTGAGGCACTGACTCATCTCTCAAACCTTCATCAGTGAATTGCAATCATACAAAAGACTGGGAAGAAACAGAAGCATCCTAAAGATGCTGGAGACATTAGCTACAACTCAGATAATGGGGAGGATATATGTGAGCATACAATGTTCATGTCCAAAATAATGAGATAAAATGTAATTCAAGACTTTCGGATAACGCACGCATAAGGACTAATAGGTAATCAGATGGTTTCCAGTATTTAATTCAGATTGTTCTAGATATTGTCTCTTTAGAATTCATACTTCAAACTTGAATTTCAGCTAAATCGACAATTTAAAAGATGTATTACCATGTTACAAATTACAAGAAACAGACAAACCAACAATTTCTTAGACTAGTAAATTAATTCCAAATGTTACTAAACATTCCACATGGCAGCTGAAAATATGAAAGGGGAATGTCTTGTTTTATATCGTAAAACTTGTATCTTTATAACAAAGAACAGTATCTATCAGCCCTGTGTTTTGTTTCTGGATGACAATTGCATCTTGTGCCAGTCTGGTTCACATAATATACAGAGCATGTGTTCTCAACCTTTTCCAGACCTGGGGCCACATTCTACCTTTCTTACTCATTCACAAGTCACAGAATTATAAATTTATTAAACACCACAGCAATCTTTTAAAATGCTACTAAATTAGGCCTTCAATTTGAAAATAAGTTAATATATTAAGTTAGTCAATAATTTTCAGTAACAAAATTAAGTCTTTGGTGACATTTGACAGCACTTTTACTAGAGTAATCTTTCAGTATCAGGTTAATTTCTGTTGCATTTCATACACGTCCCTACAACTGTTCATCAGTAAAACGCATCCTAGTTTTGATTTGATGTCCTTCATTAAAATGAACAGCTGCTCACGACTGGTAATGCCAAATACTGACAACACTAACAAATCATGTTTTATGATAAAAGAAACTACTTTTCATCATACAGAGTGACACAGCACTACAATAAATGTATGTCAGCTGCACAGAACACATCAGTGGGTTGCATGTAGCCCATGGCTTGAGAACCCCCCGATTAAGAACTTAGCTGTCCCCATCTTGATATCGCTCACCTCCTACCCAATTGGTATCAAGGGAACTTTTAGTAGAAGTAAAGTGACAGTGAACTTCCATCTAATACCAAGATTAAGAATGTGTAACGCATTAATCCACCTCCAAATATGCCTTTTTTATGTGGTAATTTTTACTCGTTTATTTAGAATACTGATAAAATGAGGATTGTCACCAAATTGCTTCCAGGGTACAGAGGACTTCATCCTCCTTATTATGCAGCCTGAAGTAACCAGCACAGTGATGTTAGCTTTGCTATTCTGTGAGTTCTGAACTGTCTTCACTGCCTTGGGCTCTGTTGTTGCGTTGCGATGTTGTACAGTTTTGCTGCGACCTTGAAGCATGCAATTTGGTGATGGATACTGTATAGGTTGAACAAAAAATGGAAGATGATATTTATTAAATACTTTACATTACGTACTCTTTGGTGAGATAGGTACTAGCTAATAAAAAATTAAATTTAACTTAAACAGATCAATGTCACTATAATTTGTGCGAGAAGAACAACTTCTGCAACTGATGCTCATTGCATCAACACAGACTGCCATGATGAATGTTTTGAATAAATTATCAGTGACACTTCAGCATTTGTATGAAAAATTAAACAGTTCATGTTAATAAATTATTATAGTGACTACATTAAACTTTCATAGGACATTAATGGATGTATAAAACTGAATATTACATAAATCTTCATTAGACTTGCTGTAAGTGGCTCAGTGGTGCTAAAACCACTGGTGTTAGATTTGTAGTTTATAATCCAAAATTAATTAATATTTAGGCCATGTGTACAGTAGACTCCCAGTTATCAAAGTTGGTTGGGAAATATATTTCCTATATAATCAAAACCACAAACAATCTGCAAAATTTAAAGAAAAGCATGCAAATGTAACAAATATGTAAGTTCATTTACAGACATACATTACTTACGTTCTTAAAGAAATTTATATAATATTTAATAAAGTTTTAAAAATTATTTTTTTTAAAAAAGGATTCTAATGGATAGTAACAATGTTCTTTAGTCTTAAACTTCAGGTTGTAGCAAGAATTGATTTAGGTTAATATGGTAAATAATGCCATTGTTGTATTTATTTTTAAATGTTTTTAAATTTCACAATATATTTTCTAAATGAATTTTTAATTTACATTTAAATCAGAGATGTCCCACATAATCCATCCCAGATAATCTGGAGTCTACTGTATTTACAAGTACTTCAGAAGAATTAGTATGATCATTTCCAAGCTCCTCATCTGTACACATGTCGATAAATACATAGATAATTCATGGCCAGTTAAAAATAGAAGCTTAATCTGAAAAGGAAACTGATTTGCAGAAACATCATGATCACTCAATTAACACTGCACCAAAAATCACATCTTTCAATATATAATTTTACAGGAATACAAAGAATGTTCATATGTCTCTAAGATTTTTCCCAAGAAATTGTTTAATTTGATCATTTGCTACATAATGTGCAGGGTTAACACAAACAATATTTAACCTGAAGTGGAAAAGTCAATGGTAAGGAAAACAAATCTCCATTAAGAAATGTTTCTGCGTTCTTCCAAAAAAGAATTGACAATTTCTTAAATATATATCTGGTAAATATAAGGCCCTCTCAAGAGATAACTGTGTTCAATTAATTAAGAAAATCTCTTTTGTCTCAGTGAAAAGATTTTTGTACAATTTTTTAAGTTGCCAATTTTTGTATGATATTAATATGGCAAAATATTTCCAATACTAAAATGTATGGCTCATCTATACAATGTAAATATGATCCCTGATGTTAATACTCATTTCAAGTGCCTAAATTCCATTAAAGCTGTGATCTCAAGAAGGCTACGTCAGCTAATTTGTGGTGTGTGTCAGTGCAGAACTGCTTG